CTTTCAAAGGCTCATTGAGAATCAAGGATCTGGGTTTTAATCTCTGTAATCTAACTAGCAATGTACTCCTGAGCAAGAGGTGCCAGTGTCTCTGAGCTAGAAATCTTCACTCGTAAATATGCGGGGGTGGCTTCTTTCCTAAGATTCCGTTAAAGTAAGCGTTTTCAAACTTGAGTGAACATCAGATACCTGGGAGGGAAAAGAATGGGAGGGGCCAGGAGGACACAGAGGAATGGATGAAGACAAGAAATGAGTTAAAAGATAACCAAATGTCATGTGCAAACCTTGGCAGGACTAGGATTTGAAAAAATGGTTGTAAAAACATTTTTGGCATACTTGAGGATATCTGAATACAGACTGAACATCAGGAGAAATTCTGAAAGCATTATTTAATTCTTTTAGGTGGTATTAGGATCATGTGGAAGACTGTATTTTAAGACAAGTATACTCAGGTATGGACAAGTGAGGGGTCATTGTGGTGCCACAACAATACACAAGTAATACATATACAAAATGTTAACAACTATTGAATCTAAGCAAAGGAGAGAGTGTTCATTCCTTCAACAGTTCTGTAATTGTGAACATTTTCATAGTAAAAAGTTTGGGGGAAATTACTAAAATGAAAACATAAAATTTATTTCTCAGAGATAAATCTTACTCCAAGAGTTTATGAACCCCAAGTTGAGAATTACTGGTCTAGCTAATTCACCTTTTTATCTTCCAGAGCATTAACTCAAAATAATGGGATATCCCCAAACTGCAAGAAACAAAGTACCAGCCCCTCACATATAACAACAATTAAGACAAAAGGATTGAAAAGAAGGGGTTTATCAAGAATTCAAACAACCAATTCAATCAAGTTTCCCTGAAAACACATACGTGCATGTCAAACTGGGGAACTCTAAACAAACTCTGTGGAGTGGATCAGTGCCAACTGCCAGTGGCCTGCACTGGTTCTAAGCCATGCAGGCAGACAGTGCGTAATGGTGCAGGCCTGTTTGCTATAACCACACACTGGAGGCCAGGTCAAATCCTTAAGTTGTGAGAGCAACTGTTTGCCTTGCTTGGTTTTGTGCAAGGGCTTCAGTTATAAAGATGTTACCACTGGGGAAAACTGGGTGAATGATACATGGGACCTCCCTATATACTCCCTATGTAATTTTCTGCAAATTCTTCAAATCTATAACTACCTCAAAAACAAAAACACCACATTATAGATCTCATGTCCTGGTCTTCTCCAGTTTGAACATATCCTTAACCTGCTCTTAAACCCTTCCCACAACCAATCTGAGAAATGATAAGCTTTCTTTAAAAAAAGCCCTTCAAAACCCTAAAGATAGTCAATTCTTAAGATTGTTAAAGTCTGAGAAGAGAAGAAATACAGAGAGATCTGTACATCTTCTACAAATAAACACCTTCCATCCAGGTCCCTCACATTCCTACACAGTACCTTTGCTTCACCTCAGGGTGCAATCTGAATTCTCAGTTGGCTCAGTTGTCCAGGATCACAAAATCAACTACAGAGGTGACAGGGACTCAGTGCAGCCAGCCTAGAGCACATTCATTCAGGGATGCCAACAGCTGACAGCTGGGGAGAAGAGCAGCTAGACCATTTACCTCCCCACACCTACTACTTTTCTGGCCTTCTGAGCCTGAGGAATAACTAGTACCCTGGTAACTGCCTCTCAATTTCACCTAAGGAAGAGGCTCAAGAGTCAGGACAAATCTATTGTTTTCCTGAAGAATAAGCATTCACACTTTCTGCTCCTGAGTAGAAATGGAGTATAAGTCAGAAATCATACAGAGGCATCTGGGTGGCTCAGTGTGTTGAGCGTCAGACTCCTGATTTCAGCTCAGCTCATGATCTCACAGTTCCTCAGTTCGAGTCTCACCTTGGGCTCTGCACTGACAGTGCACAGCCTGCTTGGGATTCTCTCTCTCCCTCTCTCTTTGTCCCTCCCCCTCTCCCCACACAAAGTAAGTAAATAAACTTAAAAAAAGAAAGACAGAAAGAAACCATACAGAAGCCTGCTCTCATCAAAAGGACCACTCCAACAGCCCCTCCTGCTGGAGCGGAAACCAGAAAATTCAGCTGCAAATTCCCCCTCATGCCAGCCTGCTCCCAGATCCCCCCTAGGCCAATGCCCAAAACTTTACAAGAGCTAGGAAGTTCTTGATGTGAGGAGTAGCAAGGGCATGTTTTCCAGGGTGCCAGCTGCATGACATCCTCTATCCATAATCACTACTTGCTCTGAGCCCTGACTGTGCCCCAAGTTATAGCACAGAGGTCACTGTATGAAAACAACACACAAGAAACATTACTGAGATGCCAATATGGTAAATGGCTGATTGGGTTTGTATTTGTCCTGAAGACTCACCATCTGGTTTTCATTTTACCTGAATACATGGGTTCTGTATAATTATTTTTAAAGGAGTCCTGAAAATGCATTTGTCCAACATTGCCTGGTTTTACAGGCAAGGAAGTACCTTTTGTATACAATTCAAAAGTAGAATACAAAAGCATCTATTACACACATAGATATGTATTTCATAGCCATGCTCATAAAGATGAGTAAAACAAACCAAAGCACCAATAGTGGTTATTGTAAGGTAGTAAATAAGGATTTAACTTTTAAAAATATTTTCCTATAGGGGCGCCTGTGTGGCTCAGTCAGTTAAGTGTCCAATTTTGGCTCAGGTGATGATCTCACAGTTCATGGGTTCAAGCCCCATGTTGGATTCTATGTCTCCCTTTCTCTCTGCCCCTCCCCCACTCACACTCTGTCTCTCTCAAAAATAAATAATAAACATTTAAAAAATGTATTTTCCTATATTTTACACCTTTTTTAAAAGAGTGTTCACATATTGCACAGTTATAATCAGAGTTGAGCTTAGAGGAAGAGGATCTCTACAGAGAAGATGAGGAAGGGAGCACAGCCTGGCTGGTGACAAAAGCTCTGTCAGCCAGAGCAGCACAGGCTGAAGTGAGGAAAGAAACACAATCCTGAGGACTTTCAAAGTGCTTCGTAAAATTCCAAAAGCTTACATTTAAAATGGCACCTTGTCTGCTCGTACACAAATCAGGAAGTATGTTAACAAACGCCAAAAAGTATAGGCTTTGGCTACCCCATTTCCCAGTGCAGCACCGGCAACATGCACAATAGCAGGAACGGATGCTTGACAGGAAGGTGCCATCCATCATTCCATTCACAGAGGGTACTTCATAAATAACTTGACTATTGTATTTAAATTACAGTTAAGTTAGAATTTCTGCTCCTTTCACCACTCTATAATCTTAAAAATAACATTTAACTGGAAAGCATCCAATTTCCCCCTAAGATGTACACCAAGATAGGGTCACTCTAGCAAGAGAATAGTCCACGGGTACTTTTTCATTATAAAGTCTTCAGTATTTCCTTTGACAGAAAAAGAGCAGCCATCTCATAAAATGTTACGTCTTCAAATGTCCCGTAGTCCACAGACAACAATATTTTCTTATTCTTACTAACAAATATTTATAGTGGAGATAAGCATGTTCTTAGAGACCAAAGAGAGAATAGGGCTGAGGAGGAAACCTCTTTACAATACTCAATATCGCACACCTGAGATCAGTTTAGCCATTGTCTCCCTAGATCAACCCCAGATTTGGAGATATGGCTTGATTTAAAGATATCCCAAATCCCCACAGCTGCTGGCTAACTCTAGAATCTGTGATGTTATGATGGTAAATTTCATTTACAATTAGGCAAGTCAGAAGCAATCACAAGAATGAAAAGTAAAATTTCAGATAAAAATAATTTAAAGTAAGATGGATTTAGTTCACTACAATCTAGGGTTATCTTTAAAAATTAAATATAGACTTATGCATATATATACATCCACACACACAAGAACACATACACTTACTTTTTGTCTGAGTTAAACTCTCCTCTTTCCCATCTAAAGCTGCAGAGTAAATCCTCATGTGACCATTTCAAGAACTATTTTTTGCTACTAAATTTTGCCAACAATCTGCTCAGCATTCTAGCAGATGTTTCTGTTTTCAAACCTCTGGGAACTTGGCTGGATCTGTTTTCTTTCCCCATGTTAAAAATAAAAGAAATGGCCCAAATGTGGCCTAATACCCTAGAGAAGCTTTTCCCCTACCCCACACCCCTCAATCTCCCTATTCATGTGACCTCCATGATCCCTTCTCAAATCTTTCTTTTCCATTAGAGATGTTTCCAATTATGGTCCATTAAGTTGCCAAGGATGACATCACCCCCCCCCCTTTTTTTTTAAGAAAATGCTACTGATTCCTAGTTACTTGGGGACCATCTGCAACAATTTAAACCAACTAGTCTGCTGGACCTTATAAACCCACAATGTCACAGGGGGGTAATTTGTTCAAAATCGATTCTACAAACAGAACAATACTCTTACAATGGGGGTTGGAGGGACAGGGGAATCTTGTCTTTTATATAATGATTTCTTTAAAAATATCTGTGCCTCAGGGCACGTGGGTAGCTCAGTCAGTTAAGCATCTGACTTAGGCTCAGGTCATGATCTCACAGTCCGTGAGTTCGAGCCCCACGTGGGGCTCTGTGCTGACAGCTCAGAGCCTGGATCCTGCTTCAGATTCTGTGTCTCCCTCTCTCTCTGCCCCTCCTCCACTCTCACTCTCTCTTTCTCTCAAAAATAAGTAAACATTAAAAAAAATTTTTTTTTAAGGGGCGACTGGGTGGCTCAGTCAGTTGAGTACCCGACTTTGGCTCAAGTCATGATCTCACAGTTAGTGAATTTGAGCCCCACGTCTGAGCTGTCAGCACAGAACCTGGAGCCTGCTTTGGATTCTGTGTGTGTGTGTGTGTGTGTGTGTGTCTCTCTCTCTGTCCCTCCCCCACTTGTGCTCTCTCTCTCTCTCTCAAAAATAAACTTTAAAAATTTTTTTAATAAAAACATAAATAGATATAGACAGATAGATAGATAGATAGATAGATAGATTTGTGCCTCAATCTTACCTCAGTGACATCCATAACTTTGATGGCCGCCAGCTGACCAGTTTTAACATGTCGACCCTGAAAAACAGAAAAAAAGAAACACAATTGGCACCACTGTTTTGCATGATCATTACAATAGAATGGCTGAAGTTTCAATGCATCATCTCTTTTGTAATTTTTCTCAAAAGTGATAATGAAATTAGTCCCATGCTCTCCAATAGAACAATACGGTTTGTAATACCAATGAACCACACTTAATAAACAAGTAGTAGAACAAACTGAGTTTTGATAAAGCCTCAATTCCTTCTTTCTGTCTTGGGTTCAATTTACATATCATTACCTCTCAATCTAAGCAACTTAGTATTTTCTTCTATACAACAGGATAGTCACTTTTTCTTTCTTAACATCCTGCAAGAATGAAATGACCCAAAAAACCTCTAGGTATTTACTGTCAAAAAATGGAAAAGTCATTTTTCCCCAGTATACTCTCAAGACCCATTACTTGATTTTATGAAAGTAATGCTAAGAGTCTTCTTTGAAGCTTTCCTGCAGTCCCAAGGTAGAGACGTTGGAAAATAATTACCCAGAACAGAGGGAGATAGGGATGATGCAGAAACAGAGACTGCTTTCTTACAGCTATAGTATAATTCCTGACTTAGGACCTAAAACCCACTATTTCTATCCCTGGCATTTTAAACCAATGTGAGGTCATTCTCCTCTCACCCAGATGAACAGGAATGGATTTAATTCCTGTCAGTCCTGTGCTTCTCCATCCACTCTTTGCAGTGCTCTGCCGGCCTTTTCTCCGGCGAGTAACATAGAGCTACCCAGATATCCTGAGCATGATCTACTTCAGGGCGTTATGAACAATGGTCTGCAACAAATGTAAAACACAAAGAATGTCCCCATATTTCCCAAGAGCCTGTCTCTCTTGTGGTCTCATGATGAACAGTTAGGAACTTTAGAACTTGAAACTTGAGGGAAGCTCTCCATTTAGTCTGGAAAGCTTACCCAGGAACTCAAGTTACATCTAGGACAAAACGACTCCATGAAAATGACTGTATTACAATTACATCTCAACAGTATGTGGTTGGGACACCATGGATTCCTGCAATGGCAGAGCAGTTCATGAGCAGTAAGTGCACAATAACAACATACAGGAAACTAGGACAAAATCCATAGGCCAAGAACCTCAACCCAACTCTCACCAATCCGCAGACATCACCACCTTCCTCCAAAGTGAACTACCTTCCTGGTCTTCAAAAGTGGGGACACCACTTGCCACAACACATACACCTGAAGTTCAGTCTCAAGTTCTGCTTCTGAGACAAGAAGGGTTATCCCACATTGGTCCATGATCCAAGAAACAACACCTCCTGCCCTTTCCGCCATTTCCCAGCTACCATTCCACCAGCATGCTCTTCCAGCATACTCAGCCTCAAAAGATCTGAACCGCTACCTCAGCTGCTGTGTCAGTACCCCATTAGACACCTTCCCCAGCATTCTCACACAGTTCTGCTCCACAGTCTGGCACTCTTTCTGCATTAAAAGCGATGTAACCCACAATCCTGAATAAAAATGCTGCCCTATATGTATGTTACCATAAGGCACACAAAATGATCGAAGAAGTCATGTAACATCTATAGAAGCTCCATCTCAGAGATGCTCGGCGTGGAATACAATTGTGTCAAGAAAGTTCTAATTTATGAACATTAAATGGGCTCCTATATTTCTGATTTGACTGCCATCTTTTACTACCTGTCTGTCCAAGATTCAGTATCTTTTGATAGTGTCCATTCCTGAATCACTTATGTAAAATTTTTGCCTATGTGCCTATGTATGTCATAGGATCTATAACTTCAGTCTTTTTTTTTTTTTTAATGTTTATTTATTTTCAAAGAGAGAGTGTGCACACTAGTGGATGAGGGACGGACAGAGACGGAGAGAATCCCAAGTAGCCCTGGGGCTGTCCACACAGAGCCCATCATGGGGCTCAATCCCACAAAACAAAAGATCATGACCTGAGCTGAAATTAAGAGTCAGATGTTTGACTTGGCCACCCAGGTTCCCCTAACCTCAGTCGTTTTTAAAAGTTCTGTAACCCCAGCTCTGTGCTAAGCATTAACACACAGGAAACTTAGTTGTCCTTCATGTCTTGGGCATTGGCAAGATCCTAAAGCTACAGGATAGTGATCCAGAGTATGGACTCCAGCATCAAGACTGTGTCCACACCTCATGTCCTCCACTCTGTAACATAACAGTGCCTCAGTCTCCTGTCTGTAGAAAAGGGGTAAGAGTGATGCTCAACTCACAGGTTTATCATGAAGAATAACTATAGTGCAGGGGCGCCTGGATGGCTCAGTCGGTTAAGTGTCCAACTCTTGATTTCGGCTCACATCGTGATCTCACGATTTGTGAGATCAAACCCTGCACTAGGCTCTGTGCTGACAGCGCTAAGCCTGCTTGGGATTCTCTCTCTCTCTCCCTCTCTCTCTCTTCTCTGTCCCTTCCCTGCTCATGTGCTCTACCTCTCTCTTTCAAATAAACATTTTTTAAAAAAGAAAAAAAAAGACTTAGCAGTCTGACAGTGGCATAAAACCTTAGAGTTATGAATTCACTTAGTATTTGCTTTACCAAGTAGAGTTTCCCCTACTAAGGGATTAGAGAATCAGGACCTAACAACTAATCAATTATTTGTGTCAGAAGGTGGACCACACAAAGGTACTAGTCTTCATTAACACATACCAGGTCTTCCAAAATTAGGTCCATTTTAAATTGAAATTGAAATCAGAAAACTGTCCAAGAATTCTGTCTCCCTCCTTTTCAAGAAACAAGACAACACTGAAAGAAATGAAATTTGGGACTCTGGCAGCATTGGGCTTTCATTTTTCTGCTACCACTTCATTACTACATTTCCTTGGGAAAGCTGCTTAACTTTGACAAGCTTCCTAGGATCACTGGAGGATCCCAATGTTCTTTTTAGAATAGACAGGTTATAAATAAAGTGCATACAATACATAAAACCCTTGCCATCGTATCTGGAATATAGTGGACTCTCGCATGACAGTCTTCCTCTCTACACTTTCACCAGAGGCCCATGCTAACCTTTTCTCTTAATTCACCTTGCAACTACCTTACCTAGTCAAGTTAGGCCCATTTCTCATTTTCAAAAGGCATGGCCAATATGAGGAAAGGCAGTGGGGTGCTAAAGTAATATACTTCTCTATTTTTTTAAAAGAAACAAACAAAAAGACAACCTCTAAATTTGAAACAAATAATTACCTACTCAGATGGATCATCTTTGCTTAAAAGAACCAAAATGGTGAGCCTAACAGTCCCAGGAGAAAAACTACAGCTGGGGCTGAATGTACTAAACATCTATATGCATGTAATTGTGTGCTAAGGAGGTCATAGGAAGAGTTGTTTGAAAGGATAAAAATTTGTCTGTGATTTACTCAGTATTAACCAAGAGAGAATACAGTCACCCGCTTAGGGTAGCTCAGCTATAAGCTTAAGTCTCCAAAAGTCAGATGCCCCCACCCATCAGAGAAGCCCTACCCATGTTCCCTTGGCATCACTCGAGAGTGTAACAAATGGCCCTCAGTGGTATAGGAAGAGAAAATACACATAATCATAACCAACTGCCTTGTGCTGGGGACTCAAGAATACAAGAAAAAGCATTATTTCACTGAAGTTTGAGGCTACTATAGCATCTACTATAGCATTCCACGCTGACCTCTATACCGTCTCTTAAAGGCTGCTTCATGTAGTCTGCTCCCTGAAGATGACCAATATGACCACTTTCCTTCACCTGAGTCTGAATCCAGAATTGTGTCTGTCACTAAAATGCCTAGCCTGTGCATGGAGAGATTTGGAACTTACTAGTAACAGGACCCTTACATTGTATCATCCACTCTTTTTTTTTTTTTTTTTTTAACGTTTATTTATTTTTGAGACAGAGAGAGACAGAGCATGAACGGGGGAGGGGCAGAGAGAGAGGGAGACAGAATCCGAAGCAGGCTCCAGGCTCTGAGCCATCAGCCCAGAGCCCGACGCGGGGCTCGAACTCACGGACCGCAAGATCGTGACCCAGGCTGAAGTCAGACGCTTAACTGACTGAGCCACCCAGGCACCCCTATCATCCACTCTTAAAACACCCCAGTATATGACTTGGTCAGTATTAAATATACCTACCTAACATCCATTTATAAACTTAACTCTTTTGTCCTATTGTCTGCATTTCTTGGACACGGTGTCCCATCCAGTGTTATAAAATGCCAGGAGGAAGAGACTAAAGGCGCCTGGCTTTATTTATGAGGCACCATGTAAACATTAATGCACTAATGAGACATCCAATGAAGAAAAGCCCCCAAATACTATTCAATAAACTATTTTCTTAGTAGCTTCTAAAAAACTTTATGAGGGCCAACAAAGCAGGTCATTCATTATCTTACTGACAGATGAAGAACTCTAAGGTGAGTTTTATTATTCTGCTGCCCAAGACACAACGGTAGCAGAATTTCCTTTCTACAACAATTATATAAAATGTGAGGGATGGACTCACCATTTCTACCAACTTGTCAAATTCCTGCAATTGAGGTTTTTTGTTTTTAAAGAAACAGCTTAAATTATTTCCCCTCAATGCCCTCAAAGGGTTATTAGCAAGATTTGGAATTAAAATGGCTACTGCAATAAATATTATTTCACACAAAGTCAGACTGGCTCACACTAACCAGACCTATCCCCTTCAGTAAAGCAAACTTCAAGGCATTTGATTCATTTTTGGTCTGTAAATGGGGAAAACGAATGTTTCTTTTTTCAAAAGGAAAATTCAAACTATTCTTGGCAGACATCCAAGCTAAGGAAAATGCCCTAATTTCTGACTTTCTTTCATGATTCTAAGAGAGTCAAAATTGCCACCTTGTATCTGCAAATATGCATTACATTAATGATACACGTTCCAACAAAAATACACATACATACACACCACAAGATTTTAAAATGCAAGGGCACTGTGACAGCCTGTCTGTCTGCCTCTACTGAAGGAAGTCTGTCCCTAACCCACAATGAGGAACCTA